ATGTTATACTGTACATCAGTCATCAATCATATTTATCAGTGTTGGTTCATCGGAACTGTAGTCGTGTCGTACAGTTTCACAGCTTTAAATCAAATTTAAAAATCTTTTTACACTTTTTTCTTCTCAAATTATGCAATTTTCAATGGAATGTGTAGGATAATTTTTATTTCGTCCAATTTACGAGTTTTTTTTAAAGTGCCAGCTTTGAAGAAGAGCAAGAAGTATATTGATCACTAAACGAAAAAAAAATCCTTTCTGAATGTTTAATATATTTTTAGGTCACCACTTTCAAAATAATTCCAATTGACGTTCATTTTTTTTCGTTTAAATTCTTGAAATGTAGATTTCTTTGGATGATAGTTATATATAGAATCCTTTATGAAAGACAGAATAAGCAGCTCTTCAAAAAATGAATTCGTTTTTCTGTTGGTGGTCCAACTACTTCACGTGCAACTGAATTCCGGTCTGAGCATCAGGCATGTGGTTCTGACGGGAAGAATTTGAAGATAGGACTTTTGTCATACTGCATTATGAGAATCAGTATCATAAGATTTGAAAATAAGGGATGACCCTTCGGGTGTTTTATCGAAATGTGTTTCGAATTTGATTATTCTCTGGACGAGGACTGTTCTTTCTGTCAGGTATATATATATTGTTTATATATATATATATAGAAAGACCACCTGGCTGCTGATGGTGGCACATCCTGCCCATCAGTTTACACATGTGGCGTATGACGTCAAGTCGGCGCAATCATTTGCGGTTCGGCGTTTCGCATGAAAATCCGAGATGATCGCACCAAAATCGGCAAAAAATATGCCTTCAAAATGCAAGAACACCGCAAGCTATCTACGCAATAGGCCTATATACTGAGATGCCATGCAAAGATGGGGAAGGTAAATAAAATAAAATAAAGACAATAATCTCGGCTTCGTCAGATGGCGAATGATGAATTCTGAGCCGGAAAACCCGTTTTTTTGTCCCGAATTCCGATGTACTCTGAGAAGAGGAGAGTTAAAAAAAAAACCGAGCAATTGTCCTTTGCGATAATTTCAATTGTTGTGTTTTTGAAAAATCGATAACATGTTGTGTTCTCTCTTCTTCTTCTCCTTCTGCGTCGTACTATGATGCTGATACGAACTTTTGATTATTAACAAAAAATGGGGCCGTCGGGAAGAACAATGGATATATTGTTCAAAACCGTTGTCTTCCGGACGTTAACCGCACACGAGTGCCTTACTTTCCGAGAGATTATCTTGATGATGCCCCATACTCAATGTCTTTGATTTAGGTGTATTGTTGTTGAAAAAAAAACGATTTTATACACTTATCTGCGTTTTCAAGTCCATAAACACGAAAGTAAAACACGAAATTCTCCTGTCGAATTTTGCCCCGAAAATTGCAGACTGCATCTCAGTATTGATGGCGCGTCAGGATCCTATTCAAAATTTAGATTTTTTGGGTTATAAAAAATGCACCCATTCGAATGATCTATACATATTATTAAGTATTTGTGGATACGTTAAAAATATGAACAGGATTGCACACAGGCCGCGACATGTGTATGATTCAACTTCAGGACACTCATGCAAGCCAGAAAAATATACCCTGACATTACTGAAGCTTTGCCAAAAAAAGATTAAAAATTTTACTTTCCAAAATGTTGAAATCTTTTGAACTACAAGTTGAACAAGCTCTATTCACGAAAAATCAAAATAAATAACAAGTTACTCCAAATCATGATACAAAACAAGTTACTTTTATTATTCTCCTTTTCAAGAGCTTTTCGTCAATTGTTCATTGTAAAGTACGAAATGTGCTTGTGTTTTTGTTTGGTTTTTGGAATCCTGTTCATGCAAAAAAGGGCACATTCTGTGAGGTTTTCTTCTGCAAAGTTATTACCTTTATCTGGATCTTGAAGTTGAAAAAAAACAATATTTCATATGATTTTTTGGAGGACATTTTTCTTTTCATTTTGAAAAAAGGGAAAATAATAAAAATTTCTTCCATTTAAGGCTATTGGAAAATATGATCTCAAATGTGATGTTCTGACACATGTACGCATTTTAAGAAGAACATTACAGTGGGCCCCCATCTTACGTCATCAATCCGTTCCAGGATGGATGTCATAACATGGGGCCGTCATAAGTTGAAACCCTATTTCCCTTAAGATTACATTATAAAAAAATTAATTCGTTCCAGAAAAAAGATATCAAACTAAAATTACCTGTATATGTCAACTTTTTAATTCCTCCTAAACTTAAATTCCTCCTAAAAAAAATTATTCAGCTATAATTAAATGCACAGGGCAGTACAGAACACACAAAATTCAAAATCCCTCCTAAACACAATTCTTCAGCAATAATGAAATGAACTGTACAGCACACACAAAATTTAAAAAATGCTCTGAACACAGCAATTTCCAAACTTAAGGACAATTTATTTCCTGTGCATGGCACCATCTCACACTATTGACAGTTTAATCTGGCTAGGAATGAACCTTGGCACAAAAAAAAACTCACTTCCTCCCAGGAAAACCTTTGGAGCATGCATGGTGCCAAAAAAATGGTTGGTGGGAGGGAGCTGAAAAACCTCAGAAGCTGTCCTATCATGAAACCCCGACGTAAGTTGGGGGTTTTTTTATATTTAAAAAAGCGTCGTAAGTTGAAACTGACGTAACATGGGCCCGTCGTAAGTCGGGGGCCCACTGTACAGTAATTAAATTTACATCTTGGGGCCCCCCACTGTTTATGCGCGCAATGAGCTGATAATTCGGAAAAGCTTTCGTCAAATTTCCTCTCAACAATTTTTCGTTCAAGTGACATGTTTGTCATGATGTTGATTTCAAAAACAAAATGAAAGTGAACATCCATTTCCACATCCTCAGTGCCATGCCATACGATATTGTATTTGTTACAATTATTTCGTAATTTTACCGCAAACATTTCTGTACCCGATTTATTTTCAACTGTAAGCCATTACTGTAAATTCGCGTTAAAACGAACGAACTCCGAGTGACCTCAAACATGTGGTTATAATGGAAAATTTGTTAAAGGAGGATTTTTTTTTAGTTTAATGGGCATCTTGGACTGAAATTAATGCGAAAGAGGCAAAAATGCCCCAGAGTACTTCCACAACAAAAATGTAAGAATTGCCATTGTTGACGACTTCTTTTGATGAAATGCTGTAATGGAGATAATTGAGAATTAAAAGTACAATTTCCTTAGTTCAGACTTTCGCTTTCTTGAATTTCCTAAAATATACTGCTATTACTGAAGTATGAGCTAAAAAAAAACATAAAATACATGTGCAAGAAGATTATTTATTCATTTAAAATTGTATGATCCCTTAAAGAGAGCAATATCCTATCAAACATACTCTTTTTCTTTTTAAAGACCACTTGAGAAAAACGGAATGGTAGGAGAAAGCTCAATGAACTTGAGAAGTCTTCGAAGCACAAAGAAGAAGCTTTCGGCCGTTTCATGAACTGAAAACAATTTTTTTTTTGCCACCCTCTGGAACACGAGTTGGATCGAAAATGAGATTCCTGATTACAAGTTTCGGAGACTTTGATCGGAGTTCCGATTGTGACGGATGTCCCAAAAATAATCGTTCCACGCAATGTGTTTTTCTTCCACCTCCAGCACATGGTGTAAAAAAAAAACTAACAAGAAACGTTCCTGGCTGAGAACTTTTAAAGTACGCCGATTTACTGGAAAAAATCCGTTATTGAAAACGTCCATTTTTCAAGTGTCATTCTTCAAAATGCGGCGTTATGTTCCCATACACTCAAGCCTTAATTAATTTCTACCCTTAATTAATGCTTATAATGCCACAAAATTTCCCGTGGTGCATCAAAAATGTATCAAGTTGAAGATAGTAGAGTACGCAAAAATAATCATTTTTTTGCCCACGTGAGTTTCAAACCTTTTTTCTCAAATAAATCACATACTTCTTTTAAAAATGGATTTATTATGAAACCGTCTTTTGGAATGACTGCAGAAATGTTTGATTTAAAAATGCTCTTTCAGTTTATCGTAAATATTCGTAAATACTTATTTCTAAATTATCAGTATTCTATAGATACGAAATAATTTTTCATTCCATGAAAGAACATGCTTTGAACCACTTCGAGTCATTGCATAACCCAACATATCAAGGAATTGATAACCATATTCATACAAGTACCACGCAGCACCGTTTGATAAGAAAAACATTTTCCTTTTTGAACTACAGTATATAAAATTAGATTAAAATTATCTCTGCATCAGACAAGCACTTCAGTTTTTAGTGAAAATTTTTGAGAAAATGTAAGAATAGCAATAGGTAAAATCACCAATTCATGCTCGAATGAAAGGAGAATTCAATGTGCTTTTTAGTATCTCTACTTTTATCAGCATCTGCTTTTTAATAATCCCTGTGCGATGCTATCCGAGAATAATGCAACACAAGTTATTCAAAATATCGCAAGAAAAGTTCATTTCGAATAATGAGAAACACCCCAATTTTTGGTCCAAAGTTCTGAGGAGAAAGGGTGAAGGGTACTTGAATAAATATCTCGTACGGTACTAAAGTTTCGTTATATATACCGGGAACCACTGTATTGTAATGGTGTAAGAAAAACGTCAGTTGAAAAGAAAAATTCCAGCCCAGCTGTAGCATCTGCTCTGCATCGTCGGAAAATGGAAAAAAAAAGTGTTTACATTTTTGTGAAACCCGAGACAGCCCTTCCACAGGGCGTGTATATATAGTCCGTCATCCGACACTTGAAACATGGGTTGATGTATCTTGCTGTTTGTAACCTTATCTTCGGACTGTTCCCGATATTTTTTGTGCATAAGCACAAATGTCGAAGGTCGTTTCGTTCTTGAAAATCCCCCAAAACCCTTGATTTTTGTAGATGAAAACCGAGTTTTGTTCAAATTCAGTGGCAATATAAGACCAAGAATTCTTGATACCCTCGAGTATTTGCGTATTCATCAAATGATAAGTTGCAAAAAGTCCTGCCAAAAAAAAAAACACGCTGAAGGAGTCATTGTTTCTTCACTGCTTCAGAGGAATAATCGAGTTGTATGTTTGCTTTAAAAAAAAGAAGAATAAAAACGTGCACAGGGCAAATTTTAGCAAAGCCTAGCAACAAGTTTGCGAAGCCTCGCAGCACTGGTTTTGTGAGTTGGCAACTCCCACGTAGGTGAACAGCAGTGGCAGATCGTCGACGACGTGTGCATAAACAATCGACATGAGTGCCAAATACAGGTACGTGTCACCGTCGAATCTTCTGACGACTCCAGTAGCATACGTCAGCGAGAATATCAGTGGGCACAACAAAAGCCAATACCGAGCGTAGTTTACAGCCAAAAACACCTGAAAATACGAATTTAATGCATTTTTTTTAAATGCTAGACTTTAATATAAAAAAGTAAAAAAAAAATTATTTGAGCAGTTGCTGCAACTATGGTTGAATTTCTGATTCATACGTTTACTTTCCACCTTGTAAATTACAATCATGACAACCTTTCAAAAGTGTCTTATGTTACAACATTGGGGCTTAAGGCATTTCTAGCAACTTTTCTGCACATGCGCTGAAAAAGATGGTAAAACTACCAAAAGGGTTCCAAATTGCTTATTTAGGCATAGTGTACTGAAGTGAATGTAGGAAAAACACCATCACATCCTTTCAAAAGTGTCTTGTTACAACATTTTTTAAGGCATTTCCTGCAACTTCTCTGCAAATGTGCTGAAAGTAATAGTAAAACTACCAAAAGTGTTCCAAAATGATTATTTAGGCATAGTGTACTGAAGTGAATGTAGGAAAAACACCATCACATCCTTTGAAAAGTGTCTTGGTATAACACTTTTTTAAGGCATTTCCAGCAGCTTTTCTGCTCCTGTGCTGAAAAAGATGGTAACACTACCAAAAGTGTTCCAAATTGCTTCTTTAGGTATAGTGTACTGAAGTGAATGTAGGAAACACACGATCACATCCTTTTAAAAGTGTCTTGTTAAAACATTTTAAAGGCATTTCCAGCAACTTCTCTGCAAATGGGCTGAAAGTAATGGTAAAACTACCAAAAATTTTTCCAAATTGCTTATTCAGGCATAGTGTACTGAAGTGAATGTAGGAAAAACACCATCACATCCTTTTGAAAGTGTCTTGTTTCAACATTGTGTTTTAAGGCATATTGGCTATTATGTGTTTAAACTGTTTAAACACTTAGTTGTTTTTTATTCAGCCTATCATGTGGAGGAAAATATCAACAAAACTAAAATTGGAAAGTCTATCATGGTCAAAATATGCTTCACCTGTCTGCAAAAAGTAAAATTTCATCAGCCAGCTCCTGTTTTGCTCACTGAATTTTTTTCTCTTCGTCATCACATGGTTAATCTTGGAAAATTTTCATTGAGAAATAAAAAAAAAAAACATTAAAATTATAAGCAGAATATTGGTGCTTTAAAACCATCAATCGCTTCTATGAGCACAGATTCGATGAAAAGCAAACTGATTTTTAAAAGTTGGGCCAATTGAGTCATCATTAATATTTAGCTCAATCTCGGAGCTCGTCTGTATGCCAAAAATAATCCAGTCTTCATCTTGCCGAAAAATCAGGCAAATCAAATTACTGTGCGAGAAAAATACAAACCGCAATGATTATCTTCCAACGACGGAAAAAACAGTCAACCAGAAAATCAAATCCAACCAAACAAATGTCTAATATAAAGCTGAAAAATATGTAATCGCTCTGTGATCACCCAATCGTGGTTGATAATCAGACGAGAACGAGAAAAGAAAGCATAAACAAAAGAATTTCTTGCTTTCAAAAGCTCTCTCACCCGTGGTTGCCCAAGAGATTTCATAATCATTCCTACAAAAATTCTCATCTCTTGTAGACGAGCGCTTTTCCTCACGTGCGTGGGAATTTAACATATAAATTCTGTTTAAATGGTACCGTATTCGAAAAAAATAATATTATCATTAGGCGCTATATAATATGGGATAGAATCAAGTTATACATTTTCGAAACTCTCAACAAACTCAGAAACGGACGTCGGAAAGCACAATAACAGAGGCGGAACAATCGAGTCGCATGTCGATTCTAGGTGTTGTTTTCATGTTAATTGACTATAATCAATTCTAAAATCTCGCCGCCGCGAATCATTGTTCTTCCTTTAGTTGCTGTTGATTCAATCGGAACAATCTGCCGGAAGTTGCTTATTCAAAGGATCCATCATCAGCAAGAACACCCACGATGAAAGTCTTTGCATTCCGTCCCATTTTTTCTCTACTTTTCAAAAGGCTAAGTGGCGGTAAATTACGCAATGAGCGACTGGTATTTTAATTTATGACTTCCTTGGAGGAACCGCGTTTTGTTGACTTTATTCTTCGTGTTATTCTTTGTAAGGAGTGTAAATAATGACTGGGAATGCCTGTTTTGCAATGAAGCTCGAAACCTCGAGGTTTTTAATCATAATTCCGACGGATAAAACCGGAAGTCCGTAGAATACGTCATGATTCCCCTGCATTTTTCGTGTGAATCCTTGAGAAAATGTCAAATAAAACAAGTTTCAACTCCGAAACATCATTATTGTCTCGTCCCTCTGCTTCACAAAAAAAGCGGAATTTCGGTAGATCTTGTTTTCATATGTCATACATAAAAAAAAATTGCCAAGAGTCAGATTACAATACGTTGAATTTTTTTGAAAGAGGGCCAAAGAATGACGAACGTCTTCGTTTTCCTCTGATGCTATGCATATCGCGAACCTTATCGTAAATTTGAAAAAAAAAGCGACAATAATTTTTTAACATCTGTGGATTTTTCGATAAATTTCACCTGTATGAAACTGCAGCCGAGAATGATCAAGTTGGCGATACTCGTGGACCGATCCTCGTGTCGTTCCGAGTCGTATGAGTAGAGAAGTACTGGGGCAGTACCGAGAACTGACCAAAGCTCAGGGTACATTTCGGGGAACCCACTCAGGTACATGGAATTCAGCAGTTCACCGGTCAATGATGTCAAACCCACTGTTTTCAGCGACATCGTCGCAAAGTTCTCCAACTTTTCTATCCTCTCTTCTTTCATAACTTCCACTGAAAATGACACGAGAAGCTTCCGAATATCAAACGAACCCCTGGACATAGAGTCCATCAATATCATGGGGATATTTTTAATTACATTGAGGCCCCATGTAATTAAAACATGGGGCCCCATGTAATCAAGTAGTAGAGCGTCCACAGTGCGGACAAAAAAACGAAAAAAAATGAAAAAACGATTGCAGAAGTGGGATTCGAACCCATGCCTGCAGAACCACACTGTGACCTGAATGCAGTGCCTTAGACCGCTTTACCATCCTGACAACTTAATTTTAATTGATGCGTTTTCAAGTACCCAAATTCATTCAAGGTGCAAAAGGCCACAGACACACGTTACATGACTTCCTTATTATTCCCCCCCCCCCAGACCCCTGTAGGATCCTACTGGTCGTTCCTCCCACTGCAGACGTTAGAACATTACATCATCCCCAAGATGGGGATGTAATTGGTGTATCAAGAGTGCCCTGATGTCGGAATGTCCTTAAGTCAAGTCTAATTTTCCCTTACACTTCAATGCTAACTTATTTAATTGGTTCTCTGTTTTTTGTCAAAAATTAGAAATAAGTCCTAAAAAAATTTAATACAAATTTTTTCCCTCAACTTCAAGTTGTAGGAAACAACAGTGCAGAACAAGCACATAGAATCTGATCTTTTGGTATCAAAAGGAGATGAAAAAGCAGAGAAAAAGAATAATTCTTGCTATAATATGCTCAGATGATTGAAAAAAAAACTCTGAAAAAATTAGCACTAAATTAGCTTGCTGGTGATTGTGACTGGCACAATGCTGGGAATGTTTTCAATGAAAACATAAAGATGATTCCAATGATCTCACTTATGGATGCCAAAGACAGAGACGCCAGGGACACAGTCAAAGAGTACCATGGTGCCATTAGGTGGCGTCTCCATCCGTACGGAGGAATCACTGGTACCCCAGGAATCGACTTTTGATCTTGTATGACAGACCATGAATAAATGCTGGCTGCCAACAAGAACCACGACAGAGAAGTGATCTGTCGATTGGTGGCCCTAGCCATGGCAGCAAGTTGATCTGAGAACTTTCATTAATTGCTCATCCGAGACTTGACTTGAACACGATGCAAATGATATGGCTTATTGAAGGTGCAGAAATTTTGGCGCCTTTAACCAGCTAAAGTATAGAATAATCACGTCTACAGTATTTTTTTTGCATCCTCGGCGCTTGCTTGATATTCTGCGCTTAGTACACACATGTTTCGAACTTTTCGTCAGTGTTATTTTCGTATTTTCTATGTGCTGACAAAAATAAAAAAGAAAGTTTGATCAAGTTGCCCTCTTAAACAGATCGACGAGCCTCGTGTAGTGACGTGAAACGAATCATATTCCATAGACTAAGAACCTGCATTTCCTAAAGAAGAATGTTGAGTTACGATGTTTGATTGACCAACTTCCTTGATTTATAAGTAAGACTCTGGTTCTGCGTAAGGATGGGGATTTTTACTGATATACTGCTTGGCATGCAAAAAATATACTAATTTTGATGTTTTTTTGCATATTGGTTTTGTATGTGTCTTATTTTCTTGTCTTGTTACAGAGAAACAAATATGATTTCTTTTAGCACCTATTGGTGATTTTACTTATTGAATGCCCCAAGTGGGGAACACTTTGTTTTGTGCAACTGGTGGCTTTTCTCTTCTTTTCTTTGGGCCTTTTATTTATCTGTTATGATGCCTGATGTTGATTTTATCAGCAATGAGCTTTGATGAAAAATATATTTCACAAAATTGAAAATATCTCAAAACTAATGCTCTGGGCAACATTTTATCAAAGACTAGAAATGTGAGAACTTTGCGATCTAAATTTCAAACTGTTGAGGAAATTCATATCTTAATTTTTGAAAAATACATTTGCTTTGGAAGTTTGCATTGAAAATTGCATAATGCGAACATATTTATCTCGGAATGTTTCCTGGTTTTCTGGACTTGTTCTGTGTGAGGAAAACCTGTGAATGTTTTATGCTTATTTTGTGATGTATATAAGGCTTGTGTAAATGCAAGCAAACATATCAGTCTCATTGAAAAATGTCATTGGTGCACATTTCCTTCATTTTTCCCATAGTGGTACACTTTGAATACCATAGCCTTTGAAAGAGAACTTTTAACATTTACTTCTAGCAAGTTGAGTAAATGCTCCTGCACTTCATTGCTCATCAAATCTGGTAGTCAACAATACTTCTGAGTGTGAGCAGGGTAAAAATAAATTATACTGTCTAAAAAAAAACTTATTCAATGCATTATACAGTGACATTTGAGAGGAGTGTTCAAGGTATAGCGACCAAACCGTACCATTTTTATAAATTAATGTACGAAGAAACGCTTATGAAACTCATAAATTATCGCGAGGGAAACACTGCTGATACAAAAATCGCCATAAACAACAAACCATTCTTCAAATAAAAGTTTCTGGCGTTTTTCCACGATGGTGTTCAATTAAACCTTGAATAGAACTTGAATTTCTGCAGAAATAGAATTAAGTAGTACGAAATCCAACAAGTAATGGATTATTTAGTGCTGGTGACAAAGCAGTATACCTGTATATGTACTGTATAATGAATTTCGGAATGCGCACATATAAGTTGATAATTTTTTTAGTAGCTCAAAGCCGCGAAATTCCGAAAAAGAAAAGAAAATATTGGTTAATGAACGCAGCTGCCAAGTTCCTTGGAATGAAATCGTGCCTGCAATCTTGTGTCAACTTGTGAAAAAGCATGCAGATGATATCGTAATCCATTTTATTTTCCATGTTTTTTTTGGTTGCTCGAAATAACAACGAATCACATGAATCGAAAAGACAGCGTGTATATTGTTGTGAAGCCCCCGCGTCTGTTTTGAGGATATGTGTGGCTGCGGAAGCGATATTGACTCAGTCGTCCCCATTCAACCAGAGGCTGAGAATCAGCGCCAGAGCTGAACTCTTAAATGCCCAGATGTCGCTTCTTCAAAATGGTAAGTTCAGGAAAAGAAAAGAGAGAGAAAAAAAACTGGAAAATTCAAAATTTTCGCACCTTGCGATGCGGTGATTTGAGCGGAAACTCTCCCACCATTTTTCTAATTTCCCCGACTCTTACTTCGGGAAGATTCGGAAATGAAGTTCATAAAAAAAAAGTCGATGACCTTGATCTCCCCCGCGATATTGACTGACGATTCAGTCACAGTTTCGCGCGAAAAAAAATGGTTCAAATCGTAAATTGAAAGTGAACGAAAAAAACAAACAAGTGATGCCGGATCCTTCGTGGATCGGGATCCGTTGCGAACGATCCATTCATTCATCGTGTGTTTGTCTGGATATCCCTGAAAGCTAAACTGGCTCCGCGATGCAGGATTCAGAAAGTATAGTGAGTTCATCCTCGGTCATTGGCAAAGGATCGTTGCTGATCATCATCAATTCCGGATGATTGGTGGTGTGATTAAAGGCATCTGATGTTTCTGAGGCCTGGGAAAACGTCGACGGACTTCGCTGCGAACCCGAGCTCGCTGGTCCATTCATCTGCATAAACATGTGGATTTAATTAAAAGAAAAAAAACTTTCGATGATCCAGATTTGCAATTGAGTCTCACTGAAAACTTGAAACAAATTTCTTTTAAAGAATTAATCTCACGTGTAATTTGGCGTCTTGTTGACAAATCCCGGTGGCGTGAACCGTTTGGGCATGCATCATTAGATCCGCAGCAGACTTCATGTCTTCTTTGCATCGTCCGCAAACGAACTGATTTTCTCCGATGTCTTCTACAATACGAATCAAAGCTTTTAGACTCATCGTGGCGCAGATTTTAAATGCATAAAATATTTCTTCGAGCTTTTTACAGCTGCAAAAATTACCAGACTCCGAAGTTCTCGCTGTTGACGGTGACTGATGCGCGCATCGACACGTGAATCTGAGTTTGCAGTAACTTCGTTTGTGATCGATCATCCCTGCCAAGTCTGAGAACATCTCTCTGCAATTTCCACAAATGAGAATGTCCGGACTACCTGGAAATACCAGAGATAAATCCTCATTTAAAAGTTCTGCGCAGTAAATGGTGGGAGGGTTCCTCAACAAAAAGATTATTCGCGATTCTCGAAAAATTGCGTAAACTATAGCTCTGAACTCGCACTTATGAAAAATCTCGTCAAATTATAATAGGAGAATAAGATAATGAGTAAAAAAATTTAGTAGATTAAAAAATTAATCTAAAAAACCACGTTTTCAAAAATTAGCTAGTCGGGAAGTGAGCAAAATTTGAGTTGAAAAATTTGATCTGGACAAACAAACAGACAAGAAAGTGAGTTCATAAAAACGTGGTAATGATCATGTACACCATCGGTGTGACATCTAGTTAAAAGAGTCAAAAAGATCTTTTTTCAGTTGGACTGGGGCCCCTAGATGACGTCCGGGACTTCACAGGAAATTAAGAACATCTTCATAACAGTGCTCTTCGACTTGTCAAAATGAGCGAGAAAAAAACTTCGGAAAACTGGGACATCTCTCTAAATAGGTACTACAATAATGCTTATTTATCTTTTGTAGATTTTAAAAGCATTGCATGAATTACTTTTTGATTCGTCCAGGAAGCGAAGCAAATTTTTCACTTTTTTTTCCTTCAATAATTGTCAGAAGCTTCGAATGATGCTCATATATTGCTGAAATGTTTGCATTTTGCGGGCTTTAGAAGCTAATGGACTACCCGGTCTAATAATTCCGAGTCGTTATATTCGAGATATGCTTCATTTCAATTTTTAACGAAATTAAAGTGTATTTCAGAATGCAAATAAGGATTACGCGATGCTTTTTGGCGCTTCAACCTCAAAATTTCGGAACAATTCAGATGATATGAAATGTGGAAGTCTTCCACAGGAACACGCTTTCTGAAAAATGATTTTCGTCATAATTAATTTTGACGTTTGAATAATAAGGTGTGGGTCAAACAAATTTGTCTGTCGAAGCTATCAATCTTTGCGCAGAACCACGAAGGATAACCTAGAGATACGGAATTCTGTCAAATATATGAGGCGCAAAATATTTTCCGCGCAAACATTGGGTTTGAAAAATGGAAAAGCCGCCAAAGAATCGCTAATAAGAAATCCTGATTGCTTTTGACCATCACCATCTTGTGAATCACAGTTGTTTACAATCAAATCGAAAAAAGTCTCGGTTATAATATTCTTCTCGGGTCGATTTTGCAAAATATTATTTGTGTTCAAAGAGACGAATTTGGTGACTGGAGCGTGATTATACTCATTCAATTATACTCTGATTTTCAAGCAATTCAATGTCATCCTCAACTGCTTCATACATTAAAAGTCAACATTTTTTTTTCTGTGGCAAAAGAAAAAAAAAACTTTGTGTCAAGTGATGAATTGTGTGACGGAATAATTTGGTACCTTAATATACTACTGTACCTGCACACTGGCTGCTGTTAAATGGCATCCATATTAATTAAATACTAGAGATTTTAAACTGTACCCTTCAAGGGTTTTAACAATTTAGGTGTGCAGAAGAACAGACTAGAAAAGATGTGTATTGCTCTTGTGTGTGTGTGAGATTGCGAAGATTATCTTTTTTTATCCATTGTGTTGAGTGATTGATTTTGTAATCTGTGAATTAATTTGGGGTAAAGAAATCCAGTTTATATTTTATCTTTGGGAATTTCCTACCCAGCTGAACCCCACAGCTGAAGGATGTGTTTTATTTTTGAATGTATCACCTTTTTTCCGCCTCCTTTTTTAATTCTTGATTACAAATTGCATCATGAATGAAACCTAAAACAATATTTTTTGCGATGCGAAAAATGACGCTGCATTCAAAGTACAGTTCAAATATTCAATTTCTCACTGATGTTTTTGTTTTTTTAAGCTTACTGTAAGTCTTAAGCTGGTCCAGAGTGACAGTGTCTCCGTTGCTGCTTGACGGAGTCCGCTGCGGACTGGGGCTCGTCACCAACCGTGGACGCTTCGACGGTGTCGATGACGCGACGACGGTCACCGGGGCGCAATAACTGTCACATCCGCATGACACCATATGAAAAGAAAGAAGGGATTCAGAACAAGATTAAATGTAGGGATTGACGTTGCGATTAAACATCAGTGCCTTCAAATGTCGGCAGTTCTCCCTCGAAATCTCCACTGTTCTTATTCTCCGAGAAAACAAAAATTCAAATTGTTTCAGAGATAAATGCAGTCTCACCTGTCGTAGTAGTGTTCCCTTCACGTGCCACGGCGATTTGTCAAAAGCATCCCATGCGGACAGGAACAAAAAACAAAACAAAACAGCGGGAACAGAAAAGTCGAAATAGTTTCAGTGTCAGATGAAAAATTTGTGAACTCGAGAGACAAATTTTAACCGACGGAACGATTTCTTTTGTCCACTCTTGGATCAATTTAATTTTGATGCATAAATATAATTCGTCTTAATCCTACGTTCGAAAAAAAACATACATTTACATGCTCAAAAAATTCGAGACAATTTGAAAATAAATAAAAATTTGTTCCTAAAAAAAAAGGGGGTTACAATCCGGTCTCTCACCAGTCATTCCCGGTTTTGGTTACGTTCTGCCGTTTCCGACCAACCTGGTGCGGTTTCGGCTCAGCTACCATGTTAACATCTGCACAAAAAAAGCGGAAAAAGCGGCGAAAAATAAAAAAAATAGGAGCAACAGAAGGTGAAAATTTCTTGCAAAAATAAAAGCAAAAAAAATTACTGTTGTTCACAGGAGAAAACCAAAAGTTTCGAAAAGAAAAAAAAAAACTCGAGCACCGTATCACAATGACATGCCAACTGATGATGATGGGACACATGTAAAAAAAAAAAAGACGCTAAGTATATGGCTTGAAAAGGCGAGAAGAAAAATTGGGTCAAATTGGGCTGGATCGGAACGTTATTCGAAAATAAATTATACAGTATATACACATCTTTATATAACTTATTCCAACTTTTCCGATATACGCTGAAATTATTCGGCTCGACAGAAATGCCCTTTTCGGCGAAAACCTACCGAGAACTTGGCCGCTGATGCTTTTCCCATCTTCTCCAGTACAAGCACTCCTCGCATCGCTTTGATTCGTGAACTGGACGAATGCATATCCTTTGTGCATTGAAATCCCTGCAAAAAAAATATTTGAATATGAAAATAGGCAAAATAATAAATGGCGATGGAATAGTGAGACCCTGAGATACGAACGCTTTGACTTGGGGACACTTGAAATATTGAAAGATCAGACCCAACATCCAGACAAAATCTCGACACACGGACACTTTTCCAACATTTCTGGGAAAATTTAAAATTTTTCCCGTCCCTCAAACAAATTAAAACGTCTCTCAAACAAATCAAGTTACAATATTTAGGTTCATAGCATTCAAAAATGAATTTTATTAAAAATTCACTCAAATTTATAATAAAAAGGCTAATTTCGTGATTAGTTTTTTGAGTATTTTCCATCATCTGTGCGCAGTATAGCAAGACTTGTACTTTTTCGTTGTTTTTTTATTTGCCACGCCAGAATAGATCAGATTCTGAGTGGTTTTCTTCCACGCAGCTATATTCTGTATATTTTAGATGAGAAACACATTTTATTAGATTTTTGGCTGGATTATTTCTAATTTCTGATGAACTGGAGAACCAATTAAATGAGTTACCATTGAAGTCTATGATGGGAAAACGAGATCCAACATGTGGACGTTTTGACATAGGGACAAGTTGAAACTGAAGACCCAATCCTGGCATGAATTTTCCCTATTGTTTGCCTTTTTTTTTATAAAAAAACATGTTTGATTCAGGAAATAAGTTTTTTAAATTGTGTGAATTCAAATTGACCGCATCATGTGTCGCAAAAATAAATGCTGGAGTGTGATTTGTTATGCTGAATGATAAAATTGGGAGTCCAAATTCTTGGGAAGAATTTTCCTTGTGCATCTCTGTGTGAACCGGGAAAGACCTTGGTTCACACACACTCTTTCTGGAAGCCTCCAAGGCTGTTTTTTTTATTGCCAAATCCTGGTTCTGTTATTTTTCCTTGGAGGACAGTTTTCCTGGTTTCGGAATTCATCAAAATACTCACTCTTCTCTGAGCTCTCATATGAGACACTCCTGCATGTTTGTAAATATTGTGTGTAATTGACTGTGTGTTTGAAACTTTGAATTACAACTTTAAAATAGGGTGAGATTTCATCCCGGTCATATCCCAACCTAATTCTGTTGTTTCATTTATTCATACCTAAAATCAAATACTCCTAAATTCAAATCTTTCTTTTAAATATCGTCATTTGTCAAGTATTTATTCCTGACATCACGATACACATGAAATAAGACACTATCTGTGGAAAGAATAACGAGATCCTTTGGGATGTGACAATTTATTGGGTTAATGTTTGAACCCGTTGTTCAAACAAGCGTGTTCTCACACGTTTTTGAGAATAAATCGAGATCCAGCACAGATTGACGACGCCCATATCTCGGAATCGATTCCCCTCTTTTTTGTTTTGTTCTTATTTTCTATATGTATATATCTCTGTCGGGGACGATGACGACGACGCATGATGCGATTTTTGACTGTTCCTCGTTGGAACAAGCGTCGGTATTTCACTCGGAAATGCCACTTTGTGCGCATTCTTGTCGACGTCGTCGTCGTCGTCGATCCTCCCATATAGTATAGCAGTAGGAAGTATAGCAGCAGATGCAGCACTCGTTACGTTGAAGGGTATAAATTATCCCTGGGGCCCTGTCGACATCCGTCCTCTCGGTGACGATCCCCGGGCCCTTCTGTGTATATCGGGAGAGGTTCGGAGGTTGTGGTCTGGGGGTCGAAACGAGCCCACGGTTCCCGTGCTTTGGGGTGGGGGTGGGAAATGAATTTCCTGCCAGGAAATCGATTCATTCTTGCGGTGTCACTTATTCGCGCCTTTTTCCCCCCTTCCTCATATATATATACACACACACATACACACATACACACCACTCTTGAAACACATCAGCATCAGCTGTGTCCGAACTGTTCCTTGTTCTCGATTTTTTTTGTCTTTTTTTTGGGGGGACGTGGACGAACGATGCTCAGTATAGTCTTTCTTGTTCTTTCTTTTTTTTGTATGGGTCTTTTCTTTTTCTTTCTTTGTTAACCCACGAATATATACGGGCTCAGTGAAAAAGTTCCTTTGGCCCTCGGGATCGAAGTCTTCCATAAGTCACGAGGTTGTTTTTTTGTGAACTTTCTGGGCTGGAAGTGCACTTGGGAACTGGCATTAGGTATTAAAAGTGGAGAGTGTCTGTGGGAACTTAAGAGTGAAGGGTCCATTGTGGGAGAATGAAATCTTTTGGTGGATCCTAGAACATTTATCTGGATGTTATCTATATATATATATAGTTGGGTTCCCCATCAACCTTTTCACTCTGCTGCTGGACTGGCAAAAGAATAAAATGTTCCTTATCATTTTTTTCATATTAGAGACAACTGGTTAAAAGACAAAATGAAGAAGAGCATAAATGCTATGTGTGTACATATTTTTTTATTGATTTAGCATAGTCTAGCATAGTTTAGCATTGAAATCTAGTGTGGTCATTAATAGTTTCCCAGCAAGAAATATCTATATTTTTGCTCCAGGTGCGGAAAATTAATTAATTTCATGGAAATGAAGAAGATTATGCGGAATTTGATTTCATTTAAAGAAATTCAATGAAACATAAATTTTTATGCTTTAAATTCTTCGATTATACCAGAATACATGAAATCAGCAAGAAAATATTGCTGAAATATTTAGAGAAAAATTGATTCCGATTTTAGCAGCACAGGAAATACAGTACATGACCTTGATTGGGATGCTCATCTTAGTTTTTATTGCTAACATTTTGGGAAAAGTCCTATGTCTGCATACAATTCATTTTTTTACTCATTTCAATTGCCGAAATTCAGATTTGAAATAAACCAATTTCGGTTAAAAATCCAAATGCAAGCCAACTTTAAAATGTAATTTAACTGTATTGTTTCTGTTTTGTATGGGGGTTTGAATCATCAACTGAACTCTGAAAAGTATTTCGAAAGGAAGAATTTGTTCATGAAAAAAATTACTCGACATGATTCACATATGGCTTGCGTGCAGCTTTTCAACACACGAAAATTCCCTCAAAAATGTGTCCCAATTTCTTAGAACAATAAGGCATTTATTGCATAAATACAGCGAAGACTTTTACATTTCGGCATGGTAATGCTATACATTATATGCTCAAAGGAAGAAAGTATCTACCTGATTATTTAAGTTCACTCAGTATAATTCCCAGCAGCACACTAAGCCAAAACTGATGTAAAGCCGGTAAAATTTGTCTCAGCCATTTTTTGCGTGGATATTTATTGCCAGATTATTTGAGACTTTTTTCAGGAAATCTCTCTCAACTACACGAAAGAAGCAGGAAGTAAAGAGTTGAATAATTGAATTTATAGGAGCACCAGTTTTGTCATGTTTTTTTTAAGGAGGAGGAAACTCGAAAAATCTAAATTATACATGTCATACCTCCCATTTTTAAAAAGGTTAATTGTTTAGCTTTTCTTGCCGAAAGAACGAGTAAATGTCAATGAATACAGCGCATACATCGCATATTCCATGAAGAAAATCAGTCATTCTTCGTTGTTGTCTTGCGAATCTGCTATTCGACGACACAGACGTTGCTTTTTATTTCCCGCGGATATTTGCTCATATTTTGGCATGCACTTTGCGTTGTGGGGAAAAATACGAGGCATATAATATATACGGAAACTTGATGCTCCGTCGACGACGACGACGACGCAAGTAGGAAAACAGAACAGATACAAAAGAAGCTGCATTTTCATTTTCATGGGTCATCTCGGGAAATTTTCTCGTGAATAATTGAATTACTCGGGCATTTTCTCTTTCAGCTGCGTTATTTTTTTTTGTCCAACGACAATTCCGGTCTAAAAAAAAAAATTCAAGGCTTTTTCCTCTAAAAACTGCTTCTCATTCCGTAATACTCCGTTGTTATTTTCCTCTCTGCGTATAACTGCTTTTTTTTTTTTAATGCGAATTCCTGGCACTAATTCATCTGCTGTTCAAAGAAGGCTTTTCTCGTCTCGGGGTTTTCTTTCTCGTCTGTATATACCTATTTCTTTGTCCGTATCGCGTTGGTGCCATGCAACCACGTCATATAGCGGCTGAGTAAAAATAAAGAGCAAGAAAGCACGGAATCCCCATGGGAATTAATGGCTAAACTCTGTGGGCCCCGGAATTTTCCACGGCCCGTTAAACTCCATTCCGTTGCCGGCTTTTGTGCGATACTGGAGGGCAAGAAATTAGGGGGCGGCTCAACTGTCTGCTGTATATATACAGGGTAAACATCGGAAAAGAAATGCCTCAGTGCACTTTGAAGTGGTTTTTCAAGATTTGTAATTTAGATTGGAGGAAAACGGCGAGATTGATTGAAACTAGGACTTTTTTGAGCATCATCTTTCAACTCGCACTGAAAAATATGTGTCTCCGCTTTCTGGTGTCATTTTTAACGCTGCTCAAATGCAAATAATATTATGAATTATGATATTAGAATTATATTATATAGATTATTATGAATATTATTATTATGTTTTGCTTAAATGCAAATCATATTATGGATAAAATTTAAAACTGCTGGAGGGCTCAATTTTCGATGCAATTGGGATTAAGCATTGGAAAGGAAATGCTTCAGCGCACTTTCGAATGGTTTTTCAAGATTTGCAATTTAGATTGGAGGAAAACGGCAAAATTGATGGAAACTAGGACTTCCTTATTGGTCGTGATTGTGCAACTCGCACTGAAAAATATGTGTCTCCGCTTTCTGGTGTCATTTTAAACGCTGTTTCAATTCAAATAATATTATGCATAAAATTGAAAACTGCTCGAGGGCTCGATTTTTGCTGCAAATGGGATCAAGCATTGGAAAGGAAATGCCTCAACGCACTTTAAAATGGTTCAGATTTGCAATTTAGATTCGAGGAAAACAGCCAAATTGATTGAAATTATTTTAAACGCGGTTTAAATTCAGATAATTTAAAGAATAAAATAAAAACCTGGAAAACATCACTGTTTATGTAGGTTAAACATTGGAAAAGAAACACCGCAACGCATTCTGAAATG